GATAGAAACCTTCATATCAGCATAAACTGGAATGCACCAATCTCTCCAATACCAGTGTTTCAGGTATTGTGTTCCTCGGGGAAAGCCTCCGGGTGCTGGTGTGTTTATCTGCATATCCACTGTGATGCCCAGGCACCACAGCATGCAACCACTCTGCTTTGAAATGCATACATCACTAATCCCTCTCTTAAGGCAAGCAATAAGACAAGCTCAAAAGGCCAAATACAAACCAAACAGAAGCAGGAAGTCCCATATGGGGGGAAAAGAAAAAATAAAAAGAAAAGGCAAAAAAATAAAAGCACTTGAAGTGACCAGCAGATTCAACTATAAAAGGTTCTTTTCCCCTCCCCCCCAAAAAAAATTGTCAAAATGATTAATTTTAAGCTCAAAGAATTTTTAAGAAAATGTTCACTTCCTGGGCTGCACCTCCCTCCTCATCCACTGCAGCTCTGAGACAGTTTTTTGCTGCATTTCAGCCTGTTGCATTGATTATTTCCAGGTCAGGGGACACAGCTGACAGAGCTCAACTTTATTCCACTTCAAGTACCTACAGAGTACAAGTTGAAATGACCACTTTGTAAGGATGGAAAATCCAAACGGTGCTTCCGTCCCAACCTCCAGTGTCCAAATTTAGAAACTACTTCAGAAAGGAAGAGGTAATCAAACAAAAAATACCCCACAACTGCTGGGGATATTCACAGAAAGGTTCTTTCTGCACAAGCCAAAACTCTGCAGCCTCATTCCTCTCCCCTCCCCACAAACCCTAGTTTTGTAAATCCACACTGCAAAGACCCAAGATCAGAATGCACGTTCCGAAGTTAAACACGGATCAGGAATTTGTTTTCAGTTGGTTATATTCCTTTCTGCGATCGACAAGACGCTTTTCAGATCTAAAATCAGAAATAACCCAAGTGAAACGCAGCAGAATAAGTAAAACCTTTTTCCAAGAGTGCAAAACACTGAGATTGAAACGATTCTCACTTCACATCGAGATGAAAAGAAGTTTCCCAGAACAGGGATGAAGTTCCTCCCTCAGGCTATGCAGTACACTGACCAAAACTAACTAAGGACATTCTGGGGTGGGAATTCTGAAACTTCTGTCCAAGCTGCCCCAGTTTGCTTCATTACATATTCGCTGTAACAAAAAAACCCCCCACCCTATTTCAGGACCTTCAAAACCAAAACCTTGCCAGTATCCATCTTCTGGTTTGGACAGAACTCCCACCCCATGTAGAACCTTTCCTACCCAAGAATTGCTGCAAACAATACCTCTCACAAAAGTTTTGGTTTCCAGAGATAGGAAAGTTTCACTGAAGAAATCCCAGAAGATCCACTAAAAAGCAGATACAAGCCAGTACACACTGGCACCACATCAGCTTTGCTTTATAAATGGCTTTTGGGGTCAACCTGGAAATCCTACCACCACAGATACCAGCCTTCTGTGGTTGGGAAGGTACCAACAGCCTGATGTGGTAACCACTGCCTCGATGCTCTACTCCTCATCCATCTCAAAGACATCAGAAACTTGCACTCAACTCCTTCAAGGCAGCCCAGGAGACAGAGACCGGGGCAAGATAACTATCTGTTGCATGTTCCATAATGAGATACCAAATTCCTCCCAGCAAACCTAAAACTCCAGAGAACTTTGCAGCAGAACTTATTTGCTAATCCAAACCCAAATGCATGTCCTAGCACCCTACTTGCTTCTCTTATACTTGCTACCAGCACCTTCCATGTCTAAGCAGAAGGTAATTGATAGCTGGAAATATTCAACTCCTACAGACTCAGAATCCAAACCTCAAAAGGCAAAAAGACACCAAATAAACTGGATGCAACTTGCCAGGAAGAATTTTTTGCTAAAGAGAAGAGACTAGGGAATCTCCTGGGAGAAACAGATTTATACTAAGGATTACTGTTCCTCTATTACACCCAGACACAAAAGACTACACTTCACTTCTCCCATACACAATAGCAATCTCAGTTTAGTTTAGCTGCAAGCCTGACAGAGCCTCCCTAGGGAAGCAGCAAATTCTTCAGAGAAATTCTTCACCTAGCCTGCTAGAGGAGAAGAATACCAGCCAGGACACTCGCATGGATGCATTCCTCTTTAAAAGGCATCAGTGAATTCAAGTTAGTGGCAGCATTCTCCCCAAAAAACACAGCAAGTATAATCTTCAGAAAGGGAACAACAAACCAGGAAATACTGAAGCTAGAACAGCCTGTAACACAAGCAGAAATGGAAGACCAGACATTTTGCTACTTACAGATGAGCAGAAAAAGCATTAAGAGAAATTGACTCTTCTGCTGTTAAAAGTTTGAATATGAGAACATCATCAGGAAAAACTTCAGTTAGTGACACAAAACCCATTATTGAGAGGGTACCTTGAAGACCCTCACCCAGAACGATCAACGTGACATTTCTCAGGCAGATCCTAACGAAGAGCTCAAGGAGTTGAACAACAAGAGCTCAAAGGAGTTGAACAACTTGACAATGTCACCATCTAGGAGATCACCACTCCCTGAAAGGGTGAGAGTACGAGCCTAAGACATATTCCTCCCCTTTTTAGAATTCCAACATTAATGTTGCTGTACAATATTAATGTGTAAAAGCCAAAGACTTCTAAAGGCACCGGGTACATAAATTTAACACTTCATGAGAACCTAAAAAGCAGTAACCTCCTTTTCCTGCTGGAGCTGATCTATGTTTAATTAAAGATGATGCATGGCACGATTTTCCCCGATTCCAAGATACCCAGTGAGCTATTCCACAGCACCCACTGAGGCTTGGAAAAGGGCTCAGAACTCCACAAAAAATTAAAAGCCTACAAACTAACTATGCTTCTGTAAGTCATACGTAATGGCAAAACAGGGATCTAGGAATACTCCCGAGTAGGATAAAACTTTCTAAAACAGACAGACTGAGCAATATAAGGAAGATAAAAAGAAATTGATAGCACCCTTCCACATAGCTCTTTTGTTTCTAAGCATCCCCAGGCCAAACTTTGTGCAAGAGATTGAAAGACTTGGCTTCCCTGCACCTCAGAGGTCTTCCCTTTCAACCATTCCACAGCATCACTGGCTGATGTATTTCTCCATTTACAGACGGGAGTGCTGGTCTTGTCCTACAAGATCCTACTGAGTAGACAAGGAATTATGAAACATGCACAAAGAATATGGGTGAGTTTCTGCAGAAGGTCTTTTTTTTTTTTAATTATTTTTGCCTACCAAGGAAGAGAAGGTCCAAAAATGTACCAGGGTTCATTAAGCCAAAGACAGAATGATTTCTTAAATGCAAATTATTTGGTGATACAGTCAGGAAAACAAGATGACTAGAAAATCTGTTTAAAATGGAAGCGAGCTTTATTACTTTATAACCAATATAACTAACCAATTCTAAAAGCTGGACCCATTTTTTTGCACCCTGGATTTCTCTTCAGCAAACCTCTAAAGTACTTGGATCAGGAACTGGTGGACATTTAAAACTTCTAAATTGGACCAAATTCCCTCGTTTCTAGATTCCTTCACTCTTCCAGCAGAGATGGCTATCTTTTCTTCAACTGCCTGGGAAAAAGGAAAACTTGAAAGGGGCCAAATACATTTAACCATAAGGTATAAAAACAAACTCCCCCTTGGTGCTGAGAAGGAGCCACTTCTGCTAAGCAGAGCAACTAATTCCTATAATCTGAGTCAGAGGGCGCTGATTGGTAGGATTCATGAAGGCTCTATCAACAATGCTACTGAACAGGACTTCCCACCGTTCCGAGCTAGAGCAATTTCTTCAATTACTTCAGTGGCTTCACTTTTCCTACATTCTTCGCCAGAAGATGGGTCACATGGAAGAACTTGTGGAGAGGCAGAGTGGAAAGAAACATGCTATTTAAAAGGATTTTTTCCCCAGGCCTCAGAACAAATTAAATCTTTGTAATCAGGGTCCAAAAGGAGGAAAAAAAAAAAAGAAAAAAAAAAAAACAACCCACAACTACTCCCATTAGGTGGCCAGAACTACAATCACTTTGTATTTTGGGTGACAATTTGTACCCACAATCCAAAGAAATTATTTCAAGGGGCTCACAACAAAGCCGTTCTCATTGCTGAGAGCAAAAATAACTTTGTTATATACACAGCTCACTCTCCTCTGATTGATCCAACTGCAGCTTCGAAAACTGACTGAGCCCAGTGGCTAAATAAAAAAATAAAAGCTCAGTCATTTCCTACGGGTTACAATGAAAGTAACCAGCAAAATCAGAACTCAGCAGCTCAAAACTTTTCCCCCAAGTCAGAGGCACAGACCAACTTGTGCAAGGTAATCTTAACTTTTAACCCTTCTCCACTTACTTGATGAAGTTTTAACCCAAAGTTAAACTATTCTGATCCAAAAACTGCTGGAACACTAGGCACTAACCTCATACCCAACTGTTCACTGTACATACAACAAGCAGATTTAGAATGCAAAAGAAAAGATAATTCTCCATCTGTCAAGGAAGAAGCTATCCGTGACTGATCTTCCTCACTCCAGGTACTAATAAACTTCTCTTTTTCACCAACTGTTCAGTCAGATTGGACCAAAAAGCTTAAATCAACAGTGTAAGGATCCAATGACACAGAAAGAGAACCACGCTGCTGGTCTGCTAACTGCCACTGCAACAGTGGGCTGAAGGACCAAGAAAACAAAATACAAATGAAGCACCTTCCCCTGAATGTCCAGGTCTACTCTAACAGCAGTCAGGTACTTCAGACACTGAAAACAGAAAGCTCAAAAAAAAATCTTTTAGTAGAACGTGCAGACCAGAGTATTTAGGGTTAAACTTTACTCTCAAATCCATTACTTTTGTAAATTACATTTAATCTCCAGTGGGAAGCCAGAAGCTAATGACTTAGTAAAAAGCACAAGCAGCCTCCATCATTCCCATTTCCATGTGGAATACTACCAGTGCTAATTTATCCTGCTGTGCTTCTGATTGCCCTCGCCCCATTCACTTCTAGATCAGCTCACCACTCACCGGCAGGCTAGAAGGTCTGGACTGAAGATTCAAGTTCATATCTTCTTGCCCTTTACTGGAAGCCATTGAGGGAGCAGATGATGCCTGGGACCCAAATGAGTCTTGAGATAACTCCTGAAACATCAAGAAACAACCACAAAAAAAAAAAAAAAAAATCACAAATGGCAATAAAATAAAAGGCTCTGCTGGAATCACTCTGGTGTAGTCTCACTTTGTGGAAGATTTATGTACCCTTGGTGACATTTGCCCAAAACAGGAAATAAGACAGCAAACAGCTCAGGCCAGCGTGCCTACTGCTCTGCAGGAGGACAAACCCTGCTGGACTCCACAGAGAGTGTTGGGAGGAGAAGTCTAAAACATGACAAAACAATAATTCTCTAGCTTTGCCTTAGTACAGATCCTGAGGAACACAGACTGTCCTGGGAGACTGCCCACTTAGCTTCTTGATCTTCTAACACCTTACGATAGCTCCAAGTGCTTCATTACACAAACAAGGCAGCTCAATTAAAATCTTCAACTTTTCAAAAGCTACCTTCGATGCACTGCAATGTTTCCTGAAAGGTCCCAGTCAGCTTTTCACACAACTATTAAAATATTATGAAGCCTTGCTGAAAATAAATACAATTTATTTTTTAAAAAATCTTCATTATTTTATCTTCAACTCCATGCACTTGCTGCTTTATTTCTCCTCCCTAAACACAAGTTCTACATTTAAGAGCAAACTCTTCCTTCACCATCTAAGCATCACTCTGCAAACTGTGTTCTGCTATTGTGCTAAACCAAGTAGCTCTGGAGACCACCTGGAGAACTTCCACAGACCACAGTGTGAAAACCATTCTGTTATGAAATCTTTTAGACTGGTATCACCAACCAGCAGCATTTACTCGACACCACTCTTCAGAACTGCAGCATTAGTGCAGCTCAGCCTGTTACCATCATAACATCTCTGTGAGAGATACAGATCTAGACACAACAGAGAAGGCAGCACATCTATTACCGTAATCATGCCAGCCAGCCTGCTGACGTGTAGTTCAACCAACTTTCATGCACAAAGAAAAGGATTCACCCAAGTTTCTTTAAAAAAATCACTTACAGAAGGAAACAAAGCAGGAGAGAGCCTACCTGAGGAGGGGGGAAGCGTTGCTGGGAGTAGGCAGACTGTTGCTGCGGCGGCTGTGACTGAGGGTATGAAGATGACTGCTGAGAAAGAGCTGAGGAAGCTGTCTGCTGAGTTTGTTGCTGCTGCTGGTAGGGTGACTGTGACTGCTGCTGTGAGTAGGGAGGCTGACTCTGTTGATGCTGCTGGGCTGTGGTCTGTTGTTGAGGATATGGAGTGGGGGATTGCTGATGGGGCGGCTGGGACTGCTGCTGAGAATATGCAGGCTGCGATGTCTGAAGTTGTGGAGGTTGAGACTGAGGCTGTTGCTGCTGCTGATACGAAGGCTGAGAGTGAGGGGTCTGGGATGGAGGCTGCTGAGAATATGGAGGCTGCTGCTGTTGGGGATGAGGGCTTTGCTGGTTGTAGTATGGAGTCTGGCTTTGCTGCCCATATGCACTGGGGCCCTGCTGTCCGTAAGGAGGAATCTACAGAAGAAGAAGAGTTATACCAGTTATGGAGATAATTCACACACACATACAAAGATTATGCTCAGGAAGAAAAAATTCAGAGACCTGTGCAGAGCAGTTAACTGGGAAAGTACAGGAAATGCCACTACCTAGATACTTTTGAGACAACAGCAAAAGTCACTTGTGTGTGACATTATTCTTGGCAGTAATAAAATTTTAATAGGCACCATACCTAAGTTTTTAGGGATCCCTATCTGACCACTCTTCAACAATAGCAACATTTAAAGGAAAGGCTGCTCGCTCCAAATAAAAAGGCTGCCTTTTGAATACTGCAAACAGTCCAGCAGGAGCCACTTGGATCATCTAATGAGCCAAAACTGACCTGAAGTCATTTCTTCTTCTGTAAAGAACAGCTGTGTCGTTAACACAACACAGCAGAAAGAATATCTTAGTCCCCTTGCTATTTATTTTTCCCTTGTTTTTCACTGCTCTGCTCTTGGAAGCAAGGATTCCACAGGTCCTCATACATCGATCACACCGAACACATAGCCTAAAGAAATGCCATTTTACCTAAGCAACTGATTCCAACCTGCTTGAAGGTGGTCCCTTCAAAAGACACAGCACTAAACAGAGACTACAGAAGCTCGGGTGCTCTACCTGCTGTGCATATGAGATGCTGCCCATTGTACTTTGCGTCCTGCTTTGCATTCCCATGGGATATCTCTGGGGAGTTTGTGGCCCGTAGGGCTGTCCTGGATAGCCATGTCCTTGCTGTGGCCCCGCCTGAGGTCCCTGTTGTTGTGTGTATGGGTTGTTTCCTCCATATGGCTGAGGCCTCATCTTCCCCATCTGATCCATTGGGCTTGAAGGCTGCAAAGCAAGTTACAACACATGATGTACATCCAGCTACATAGAGAAATTGTCCACAGCTTCCCAAAAACCCCACAAGAAAACTTCAACAAGCTGGCGTAGAGAAGCAGAAGCTCATCTGTCTCTTCTCAGGTGCTAAACCCCACAGTTACCTTCTGAATTACAGCAGGATT